TGGGCTACTCGGCAATACCATGATAGGCAGAGAAGATATTGAGATTGTCAACAATTTAAGCTTGCTCAAGTCCACAATCAGCACTCTTGGAACCAGCAGTCAGGAAATCAAAAGGCAAATTGGATTAAAAAAAGTCTGCTATCAGGGATCTCTCCAGAGTGTTAACGTGCAAACATGTAAGTCAGCTAAGGTCCCCGATCCAGGGTATGGTCTTCACAATTTCTTGCTATACATCAGAGGGCTGGACAATGATTAAGGATCACAGAAGAAGAACTAAGAGCTAATGCTTTTGAGTTGTGGTGATGGAGAAGAGTACGAAACATACCATGGACCACCAGGAGAACAAACAGGCCTGGGTGAAGGAGGAGGTGAAACCAACTTGCTTTCAGGAGGCAAGGATTTTGAAACTCCATCTCACATACATTGGGCATGTTGCCAGAAGGGACCAGTCATTGGAGAAGGACATCCAGCTTGGAAGGCTGGAGGGACAGTGCAGAGGAGGAAGACTCTGGATGAGATGGATTAACACAGAGGCAGGGTTAGTAGAGGCAGGTATATCAGAGAAAGTGAGATTAGCTCAGGACATGACAGAGTTCAGAGCTGTTGTGCATAGGGTCGCTAAGAATCACAGGGAACTTGATAGCAGATAACAACAATAGTTGAGGTAATTAAGTCTTTCCGCAATAAAGATAGTTTTCTATATTAAACTCTGAGATGATCTCACACATCTAGTGTTAGAACTAGCACTGTCTAAATTTGTTTGACTATAGAATTTGCATTCTTGCTCATGGCATTTTCTGGAAGAGTTCTTTCAATGAGAGGGAAAGCTAGATATTTCTTAGGTTCCTAAGGAAGAAGAGTGGAAAGAAGAGCATACATGCTTATATACAAAAATGTGTGTAAACTTAGCCATTTGTTCAAAGTCTGATCATGTGGAGGCTACATTCTTAAGAAGATCTGAACTCAGAAAACTGGATATCTGAGTTGCTAATTCCAAAACACTTGGAACCTGTGAGAATTGCATTTCTTTAGAAACTAGAGTCTTAGAGTGCATCAAGTTTTACCTACTCAACAAATGTCCTTCTTTGATTCATTGTTTCACCTGTTTTCACCCTCATTTGTCACTGTGTATCTATGTGTCAGGTAGCAGAGGTAAGTAATCTTAGTAATACTTCCTGCTAGATACAACAGGGAAGAGTGAAGAAAAATCTCAGAGAGCGGCAAGAGGAAGGAGGGACCACAAGTCTTGGTCTCAGTTTTCCTCACACTTTCTGAAAGTCCAACAGCAGCAGGCGTTATGTGCTTAACACATAAGATTTTGAAACATGTCTCACTTACTGAGTTAATATTTTATCATGTTTTCTACTACTGAGGAACAGAATCTATATATATATTGTTGTTGTATACCACTGAGTCAGAGGCAATTCATAACTGATTCTCCAGTGGGTTTTCAGAGCCACTCAATTGCCTGGAATGAGATTGTGCATCTTTCTCCCACAGAGAAGCCAGTGGATTCAAACAGCATTCCTCTGGGTTGGCAGTGCAACTAAACAGATCTACCCATGATTGTACATAGTAAATAATAGAACTGTGTCTCTAGTCTCCCTCTATATTTTGTGTATTGAATATTAAATTTTATGGAGCCTTGATTATTTTTTTGTTTGGTGCTTCTTTAGGGATTATATTTGGTGGATAATAGAATTTATATATTAAAATTTTGTGTTCTCAGCATCTGTCAAAGCTCTTGGCACATAATGCATGCTCCGTAATTATTCATCAGGGTGAACTATGTTTGGTTTAAAGACAGCAAGGCTTTATTCCTGTTTCAGTCCTTTTTATAATGTGTGATACAGAGTAGGTTTAAATTCACTCATCTCAGAATTTCATATGTTGTTGGCTTTAATGAAATTAAAAATGTAACCAAAAAAAGCAAAGAAATTCAGAGAAATCAGTATTTAAAATTCCAATTTAAGAACAGTTAAACATGGAAGAGATCACATGTGTTATTCATGAAAAATCTCTTTTCAGGAGATAAAAATACATCTTAGGACCAAATTATATCATCATCCAGGCAGGTGGTTACTGTAGCACTGAAGGAAAGAAAAAAGATAAAGTTAGTGAAATTAGCTAAAGCTGTCTGAAAGAATGGAAATATATAAAGTATTCAAATTCATGAAATTAGAACTTTAAATACCGAATTTGAATTTGAGTGGGCTATGGGTCACTCATTTGACGAAATTGCCATATGATGCCAGGAAGGCTACATGCCCAGAACAGAGCAGGACAATGTGTGTCATCAATTTGATTTTCTGGCCACCATAGAAACCCACCAGCTGTCATCACAGAGCCATCAGGTTCCAAAACATCAAGTATCTGAAGAAAAATAGAGTTTTCTTTTAATTTGGTAAATTTAGTCTACCTTACCTTACCTACCTTACATAAAAATCACAGCCCTTTCACTTGCTGGTCATCAAGGTGGAGCAGGGTTTGTAAGTGATGGTCTGGCTACAGCTGGATTAACAATTATGCAACTCGCTCAGCCCTAAACTCTCAGGAGCCTAATATATTACAAGGGTGCTTCATTTTCACAGGAAGTGTGACTGGTAAAATAAGTAAATAAAGTATTTCCAGCGTTTTCATAACAAGAATGTTGTGAGCGGAAAGGCCCATCTGATGAACTGTCTGGGGGCAGCAGGAGACCACCAAGGCAAACTTCCCACAGAAACGTCAGAAAACTATGCAAGTCTTAACCAGTTTAGGTTTTCTTGAGAGAGATACAAAATTATGACCAGGAATGAATAGGCTTTAACCCTGGGCTCCTCATCAATTAAAAAGCAATTGTTGGTGTCATGTACTGTTGCATCAGAACCGACCCATCGCTGACCCTCCAGCAGGTTTTCAAGGGCACGAAAGGAGATTGCCCATTCTTCTTCCCTGATGCAGCTGGTGGATTTGAACTCACAGCTCCTTACAGCTAGACCACTAGGGCTCCCTAATAAACAATTACTCACTGAAATTAAATGAAAGTATTCTTATTCTGTAAATCTTCACAGAAGCAAACCAATTGCCTTTCTCCCAAGGAGGGGACTGGTGGATTTGAACCCACAACGGTCCAATTAGCAGACTCATGTGCTTATGAATCCATTGTGCCAGCTGGGTGCCTTCAATCGACAGGGAAAACTCTGATATGTTTTTTGAAAGCACCAACATTCTTATCTTTTAAGCATTTCTTGAGAGGATTTCTTTCCCTCTAAACCCTTGGCTATTATCAGAGGTTCAGTTTCTTCCCTTTGAAGTCCTGGGTGTTTTCTTCCTCCCCACAGTTTTCAGCACTTTATGGCATGAAGGGCTTTACTATTAGAGGGACTCTGAAGCAAAGAAAAGCTTCAGGGTGCCACATGGAGAGAATGAAAACATATCACGTTGATGTAGAATTCCCCTTCTATAATCTAACAAGTACAGAATGTTTAAAAAATTAATTCAGAAATACATACACCCAGGGAGTTTGGATTTTGTGTTTAATTTCACATGAGAAGAACAAACACCTCCATGCAAACTGCAAATGATTTCTAACATCAAGTCCTCATCTGTGAGTCATTAAGTTACTGAAGCCCAGAAAATCAAATTTTGTTTAGGGCTGTTTGATAATGTAGGAGCGTAGTAAAATGTGATTCACCAATTAGCTCATGTAATTAGAAAATGGGGGCGAACCTCTCAAAAAACATGGCCTATGGCTACACACAAAGTTCATTATCATCCTCCAGAGCTTCCAGATATTACATGGTTTATGTGATATAACATTATTTCTGTTAATTATAATTACAATTATGTTGTTAGTTGGTACTGCATGCAATTTCTCAGGAAAGAAAATCCACAAATATTTGTGTTTACAAATCAGAGAAATAAATTAGTTACTTAGTTCCATCAGTCAGTCCTTCTTTTTATCCCTTTCAAGTCTCTCTTGACAGGCTCTAAATGGAGCAATAATCTGGCTAGTCATTGCTTCATAGAGCTCTCAAATGGCCAGTGCTATGTTTAAATTCTAAAGAGGGGAAAGTAACCTAAAGTGAGAACCCTATAAAAATGATGGGTTACTAGTGTGAATGGTTCCTTTCTGGCTTATCCATAGATGCTAATGGTGATGCTGAAACACACAGTAGGAGAACAGCTACATCCATTTGAGAATTTTCTGACTGATAAATTCTCTGTGGTAGATAAAAATAGGGATAGAATATTTGTTAGATTATTATAAAGAAACTTCATACATGCTGTGTAGACATCTGCTGAAATGGGAGGCATATGTTATGAATTACCTGAGAATATTTAAAATGCCTTTGCCTCTGTAAGTGCAAATCACTTAAAGAATTGATTGAATGGTTAAAATTACTTTCCTATGAGTTTCCATCATGTCTTACTTTGCTATTTTTTATTGTATCTGAAGTACATGATCACAGTTACATGAGCAAGAGCTTCCCAACTGATAGATCAAGAGGATAATAGAGATGAATTACCTCAGCCCAAGTCAATAAAGAAGAGACATCTCTTAGTTTTGATGTTACTTTATTGCAATATTTATTTTTTTTTATTGCAAGAAAGGGTTATGCTATCCTTACTACAAGCTTTTAAAGACTGTGTTATAGTGCTCATTCACAGTGACATTTTTTAAAAAATGTTTGTATATTGTTTTTCTTTTAACTATATACGAAAGTGCCCTTAGATGACTTTGTAAATCACAGTGCATATTTTGTATTGTCCCTTCCAATCCCCTATGCCTCAAAAACTATAATGGAAGCAGTAATCCCTGATTATGCTTTATGGAATTTTGCTTCTTATATATTTTAGAATGGTTTGGGTTATATTTCATTTGATGAAGATCCAGACATCAGACAATTGTGACTTATTCATAGTTAGAATGAAAGCTCAACTTCTAGTTCTTCTAAAAGAGGCAGATATCTCCCCTCAATTTACTTTTAAAAATTCTCTTTTGTTCTGATTTTCAGGTCAACGGGACAGAAATTGAATATGAATTTGAAGAAATTACATTGGAGAGGGTAAGAAAGTTTAAGAATCTAAAACCTGTGCATTATATTCCACATTCTTTATTCTGCTGGGTTGTCTTGTGAAATTGTAAAATTTTGTATTACAACCTGAAGTTTCCCCAAGGATTCAAAATGAGAATATTAATGGCATGCTTACAGTAGTACAGATGTTGACAAGCAGAACAAATAACTCGGGTGTCCAGTATATATCTGCATTGTCAAGATTTAGAGCAATGAATTGGAAAGATAGAAATGCTCATTGAGATTGAACAACTTTTCTTTTTGTTTTCATTTATTACCAGTTTTGCTATGCACTTTTCAAGTATAAGATTCTTAAAAGTTATATGCAATTAAATTATATTAATGGTCCTATTATTTGCTTTGTAAAAAATGGATTTTAAAATACCCATATAGAAGAACCAAGTTGTTGTTGTTGCTGTTGCTGTTGTTGTTAGGTGCCATCAAGTTGACGCTGACTCAGACATCCTGTGTACAGGAAGGAACTCTGTCCAGTCCCATACCATTTCACAACCTCTGCTGTACTTAAGCTCACTGTTGACACTACTGTGTTAATCCATCTCATTGAAGATCTTCCTCTTCTCCACTGATCTTCTATATTTACAAGGCTGATGGCCTTCTCCAGGGACTGGCCTCTCCTAATAACATGTCCAAACAATGTGTCATGTTGCTACCTAATATAGCCAGTGGTTTGAATCCTCAGGAGAAATATGGGTGGCCTTCTCTCATAAAGATTTACAGCCTCAGAAAGCTGATGGTGATCAGAACCAACTCTGAAGCAATGGGGGAGACTATATAAACTTTAGGAAATATCCTGGCAGAACTTTGTTGTTGTTGTTGTTGTTGTTATGTGCTGTTAAGTTGGAACCTTGGAACCAATTCATAGCTCATCTCCAACAGGTTTTCAGAGGCAGTAAATCATGTTGGAGGGCATCATTCATCATCCTTCTGAAGAGCATTTGGTGGATTTGAACTGCATACTTTTGCACTGTGCAGCACAATTCTTTAAGGAAAAAACATGACCATAAGGCATTAATAGGACATTCATTAAAAAATAGAAGGCCACTATTAAACATTTGAAAGTCTATCCAATCTCATTAACACACCAAAGAAAAAATTCAGCAAGATTAAACTGTTTGTATCTATCCGATTTGCAATGTCTTAAAAGGAATATTAATACACAAAGCCAATAAGTGGGTGTTGAAATTGGCACAATTTGAACAGAGCAAATTGGAAATGTGTATAAAAAGAAATTATGGTAATTAGAGTAAATATCCTCACAAGATATATGCATACGAATGTTCATACTGGTAAGTCTTTAATGATGTGTCATTGGGTAAGCATATAATAAAAAAGCCTATTAGAATAATGTAAGAATCACAGTTCTATCAATTAACAATTCAAGTAAAAATATATTATTTGAAATATGGTCCAATAAATACTTAATATGTATAGCCTACTCCTACCATTGAGTTGAATTTGGTTCTTAATCCTATAGGATAGAGAACTGCCCTTTAAGTTTTTGAAAGCATAAATCACTACAGGACAATCTTTTTCATCGTTCTCCCAGAGGAGCTAGTGGTTTCCAACCACTTGTCTTTGGATTGGCAGCTTAATGTCAACCACATTGCCATTAAACTCCTCTCTATATGTATACTATACACAAATGTGTGTGTGGTGTGTATGTGTGTATGTGTGTGAATGTGCACGCGTGTGCGGCACATATGCAGTCTTAGATGCAGAAAGCCTGGAAAACTTAGAGATTTTAAAATAATTTTAGTTTCTTCTTTTTTTGTTTATGTTTATTTCTGAAAATAAATGATTGTATGTTTATAATAAGTAAAAATTTAAGTATCATTCTAAGCCATCTTTCAAGGATAAATTAAAACTTGTGATTTGCACTCAAATTTGTATCTCCTTTTCAGTTTACTGATCATTAGCTTTTCTGAGTTGGAAATTTTCTCACTTTCAGTCTTATTTTTGTTGACTATGAGTGATTTTAAAAGGACATTTACATTGAAAGTTAAGTGTTTGACAGATGGTTTCTTTCAAGCTGCCATTATGAACTCTGATAAAATTTTAATGGCATGCTAAATGTAGAAAAGTGAGGCTTATGGAAAATTAGTACAAATGAGAAAAAGTAACATATTTCTTCTTGTGAATCACCACTCTGCAGGCCAGCTACATAATTTGTGATTGAGTTGCAAATTGATGAAGAAGGGCTGTTATCAAAGAATTATTACGATTTTAGAAATAATAAGAGCCAAGTAAATGTGATGCCTTCTACCCATATGGCTGTGGGGTGGCACAGACCACATACCTATGTAGCTAGCTTCTGAACAACTTGGTGCCCCTGGTTTTATTAATCAATAATTAGAAGCTAATGTAGGCATCCCGAACTCTGGTAGCCTAGTGGTAAGAAACCACACTAATTCCAAAGGCACACAGTTCAAATCCATCAGTGGCTCTGCAAGCAAAGGATGGGCAATCTCCTCCCATATAATTGACTGCCTCTGAAGATCTGCTGGAGGGTCAGCTATGTGTTGATTCCAATTTGACAGTACTCAACAATAGCAATGTAGACATGGAGTAGAATATTCACTAAGGGCCAGAGACAAGTAAAGGTTCTAGCCTAGCTTATGGTGCTTGCTTATCTCATGATCTTGGGTAAGTCATCTTATCACCTTCACTTTCTGCATTAAGGTTCTTGGTCAAACATTGAACTTTGTCATTTGACACACTGCCTTCTGAAAGGTCTATGTCAAACGTCATAGTCTCTGAACACTAAGTCCTTTCCCTCACTATTTATTTCTGTGCTCCCAGTCAAAAAATTTCTTCGATCACCTTGGAACGTCTCTTCCTTGATTCCTGGGTCCATAACTTTAATACTTTCTCGCACGTCCTCTTCCTTGTCCCCTCCCCTTCTCTTTTTTTGCTCACCCAGTAACCTTAGCCTTGCTTAAATGAACCTCTTCTTTGTCACTTTATGCTGGAACCTGAGCAAGTCAGCATGGATAGAAACAAACTCACCTTTAAATTTGTAAGCATTGTTTTCAAATAAGCCTTCAAAACTTCCTGGCCATTCTTGTGCTTCTTTATGAAATAATTTTTCCATTCTCTGAATCCATTTCATACCTTATTTTAGCCTCCTAAGTCTCAATCATCTCTTCCTACATCTCCACACTCAGTCATTCACCTCTACTTTGTATGTTCTTAAGAAAATAAAAGCAATGAAATGAAAACCATCTCATGTTCCTACCCGTAAGTCCTCTAGAATGTGCTTCTCATTATAAATGAAGACATTTCCCTGTAGCTTTCTTCACTTACAATCTAACCTTCATTCCCTCTTGTGACTTTAGAGACATGAGTTCTGCAGCTACATCCTCCTTCCTCTCTCTATATAACATGCATTTATCTCTGCTATTTCCTGAATGACCTTCATACAGATAAAATGCAGTAACTCTCTTGGTAGGAATGAGGAAACCGCTCTCCTTGACCCACTTTTACCTTCTTACTATTTATTTTTCAATTCTGGTGTGTTGTTGTTGTTGTTAAGTGACATCAAGTCTCATGAGACTCATAGTGACTCTATGAAGGAGAGTAAAAAAATTATTAACATATTCTTTTGTCATTATCTCTGTTATCTCATTTTCTTATTTTAATCATATTCATGCTTTCATCTCTTTATTGTTGCTGTCAAGTTGAAAGCAACTCCTAGATATTAAGCCTCCATTGGGTTTCTGAGGTTTCAAATCCTACAGGAATAGATTCCACTTATTTCTTAGAGCAGCTTGTGGAAATGAGCCACCAGAGAGACCTGATCTTTGGGTAAACAGCCAATTCTCTATAGTCTAAACCTGCAGAACTCTCTTGTATTTCCATAATAACCTTAAAATGACCCACTCGAGTCAATCATTGGTTGTTTCCATCTTACTAAATCCAAGAATAAGTTTGCAGTCCTGCCTGTGTTCTCAGGAAAATTTCATGTAGATTTTCATTCCTTAATTTTACAAAGATTTTCATATCTTCACTTTTATAATAAAACCCTCTCCTATTCTTTTTCCACCATGTGGACTACCACTCCTAATTTCCTTTCTGGATCCTCCTCCCAATGTCAGAACAGTCCAGATACCCAGGGCACAGACCTCTGAACACTCTCTGCTCATCCTGTAGGTGATCTCATCCAGCCCTATGGCTTTAAATATCAACTCTCCTCTGATGAAGTCATAAAGCCGTGACCTCTCCCCTGAGCTCCAAAACGTGCATGTCTAACTGTGCAGTTGGCATCACTGACGGAATATCAAGTAGGAATCTAACCTTGACATCTTCCCAGCAGAACTCTTCATTCACCTGTGTTCTAGCCTTCACGGCAAAGCCTCTTCTACTGGATTATCCTCTACCTTATCATCCTGCACCTGAACCCTCTAATAGTTTCTACTTTTGCTCCTCAGAGAAGCCGAAGTAATATTTTCACAATGTTAGCCAGATCACAATATTTCCTTTTTAAAACATGCCAAAAGATGTTAATTATACTTATAAAAAAATCCATTTGTGTTTTTATAACCCACAAAACCTCATAAAAGGCAGCCCCTGCTTACCTCTTCAACATTATTGGTGCTGACCACCAATTCCTCACATGTGTCAGTCAGTCTAGCCATTCTGACCACCTGGCTATTCTTTAAATGAGTCAAGTTTTTCTTACTCTATGACTTTATATGTACTGTTCATTCACTGGGAAAATCATTCCTCAGATCTTAATATGGCTTGTTCCTCACACTACTTAAATAGCTGCTTAAATGTTATCTCCTCAGAAAACTCTTTCCTGCCAAGCCTATTAAAGTTAGTATCAATAAATCCAGCATCCTTTTCTGTCATTTATAAAATAGAATCAATTGAATGATGTCCCACAAAACAATCAAAACCAATAACAAAACAATTAAAAGTCCTACTGTCTTATTTGGAAATGGGGATTTGCAGATGCAATTCAAGATCTC